TACTCACATAAACACACACACAAACAGGTCAAGAATAAAAGAAGAGGAAACAACAAATGGAAAATACAACTAAATGATATGTCAATCCCAATAACCGAATAACCACACAAATTAATTAAAAACAACAAGAGAATGCACTGCAATGACCCAAAAACATCATAAAAATTAATATTCACAAACAAATCATTTTATATCTTGAAAATTACCACATCAAAAACTGGAAAAACTTTTTGAGTATAAAAATATCTCATCACAACATGCTAGTGTAGATAAGGAAAAACTGATCAGGGAAACAATTTACCGAAGTCTTTGGGGTTACAAAGCGTTGTTGTCTCTTCTCAGATGTTTGCGCAGGTCTCACTTGCTTTTTATAAGGCGCTGGTGGGGTATAACTCCTGAGTGGTGTAATGGCGGTTGAGTTGTATGATTTATATGGTAAACTAGACTGCCAGATGACGTCACCGGCATATCATATTCTGAGGTTGGTGTCCGGTAATCCTTCCACGAAGTTTCACTACGTTTGTATTCGAACGGTTTCATTACTGTGGTGGTCTGAACGGCTTTAACGGCAGTATCGTATGTATGGTCATCTAGTTTTTCAGCTATTGTGATTTTTTCTGGTGTTTCGGAAAGCTCATCTTTCTCTGTGCCATTTTGTTTACTTTCATTGACATTTTTGTCGGGGACCTCTGTGCTATTCTTTTTAGTTTCATCACCCCCTCCATTACTACTAACTCCACCGGTAGAAAGTGTCCTCGGACGGCCCGGTTGCACTACATCAAGCATTGGCTTAGTGATATCTTGCAATGACTTCGCACGTTGGGACAACAGCTTGTCACCATGTTGGTCAGGTGACCAAATGAGGGCGGGGCTTGTTTCCCTTCTTTTAAGTACGTGTGTCGGATATTGATCGACCGGTTCTTCCGACGACACATCGCCTTGGATTTTATGCTCCCACTGTCCAATAGGATTGAAGAAATTACGAAAAAGAGATAAATACGCAACAATGTTTAGAACAGGGATCAAATGGTTGCCATGACAACAGTTAGCATTGACACGCTAACTGCACTCCAAGCAGAAGAACGAACAAGAATAGGGATATAATGAGCATCAGAGTTTTGTTAAAAGCGTTAACATAGAGGTGATGAATACAGAGAAATGGGACTTTTTTTTAAGTAAGTTGGCACCAGTTCAGTTATATTAAAGGTGGTATGAATAATTAAAATACGTTATTACTCGCCAGCGTAAAGCATTACTCTATAAATGTCCCGTTCTAATCTCACCATCTGCACATACAATCAATAATACATGTACTAAAGATTATCACCTGCTCCCCCTACATAATAGAATTGTCATACTGTTTGTTTGCATGGGTCGTACCATTACATCAAAGATTGGGGAGGGAGGGGTATAAGGGTTTATAAATCGTGAAGTCGATTATTAGGACAAGTTATTAGCTTAGTAGTCAACAGAGTACAATAGACCATTATTGTTAAGCTTGGTATTGTTACATTTCAGTGTTTTGTTTCCGACAGGTTTTTTTTGCATATGAAATACTACGACATCTTAAATGTTTGCTTGAAAAAGCAGCGAGCTTGTGTAAAAAAAACCTCAGTGTTTTAAACATAATAAATTACATTGTGATATAGTTACCGTAGATGACAGTCAGAGAAGAAACAAGGTAAATCATTGTTCAGTCGTTACGGGTTACGAATTCTCACGAAGTTCATCTGACTAGTATACGAGTTTATTAAAAACATTTTTGCGTTTCTCGCTAATGGAACATTTATTAGGTGTTAGACAGAGATAAAGAGGTGACAGATAACCCTGGTGACAAAATCATTACAACCATCTAAAAACATACTGGTTCTCACCAACATTAGAATTCCGAAGTGTAAATTTCATAGCAATTTATATGAAAGATTAGTTATTCTGTTTAACATGTAAAACGACAAATTTGTTTAAGAAATTGATTGTAGGTTGTTAACTTAGTGACGCTTAGTGACGCTATCAATAAATTGGAATACAATTTGATCCAAACATGGAGTTCAATGAAATCAAACATTAAAGTTTAATACAAGAATTTCTCTCTTTTTCTAAGTTGCACGTCAACCATCAGGTGCAGTGAAACAATATCCAACATTTTCATGCTCTAAGTTATCTGAAACTGGTGCCAATTAATATGCAAAGCATGGTTAAAGTTACGCATAGCAGCATGATATAAACAACAAAATTCTCCTGAAAATGTCACGAAACGTGGAGAAATCTACGATAAAGCGAAGAGATACTTGCTTGCTTGACGCGTCTCTTAACCCAGGAGGATTGACCTTCACCACTAGACATAGCTTTCAACGCTGTACACCCACCGCCAACCCCACTAAGACTAACTTACAACACTACGCAATGCAATTCAAGTATTATGCAAATTAGGTCCACTTGGATCAATTTTCCACCAGGGGTTACAATTCAAAGTGACCTGACCCACGCTTTACTATGCCTATTGTTTTTTGCAACAAAAGAAAACAATAGCATGAGAGCGAGTATTAATGACCCCTGGCGTAACACATTTCAGAATTTCCAACAGGTGTAATTAAATACCCCTACTTTGTGGAGAAAAATCAATAACATGAACAAACGTCAAAAATCTAACAAAACTGATTATTAAAGTGGGTCAAACACTTTGGGAAAATTTGCTAGTTTTGTTTAGCAGTGAACTTGTTATTTAATTAAAGCTTCCTTGAGTAACAAAAATAAATGTCACCATGTAGACTTAGCACAGTGCCCTCTATGGGTAGCATCAGTGTAGTTGCCAAGGAAACCAAGATGGCTACCCACCTGTTGAATTACTTCAGATTGTTTTTTTAACAAGCATATTATTTTTGCAAATTTAACAAACATTACCATGGTAATTTTTTGATAATTCAAGATGTAGACAATTCAGCAAAAAAGTAAAATGGTCCTTCTGCTACATCAAAATTCTGCAAATTCATAGAATACAAAAATCTCACAGTATTTTAAAATCAACAGTAACAAATTTGAACTTAAAATCATTCTCAAAAATGATTTTGTGACAATCAAAGCACAAGTTTATTTCAACTTATGTGTACATGTATAAAAAACTACATACAAGCTTTGTACAGATAACAAAATAAGGAACTTAAAAAAGGTGAAACAAATCAATATTTCAGTTGCAATTTTGGCTTGGAGCCAGGTGAATGTCAAATTGCTAGGTGGGGTAACTTTTGGTATTCTACCCCCACAGCGATGCTTAGAGCCCATTCCGAGTCCTTGTACAAGTTGCTATATTCTGAATGTTAACATACTTAGCTTGTCTAATCAGCCTCCCTAAGTTGACAAACATTCCTATTAGTGATGCATTATGGGATAGTTCAGGTTAATGTTAAACACCAGTTTGCACTTCGTACTCAATTCCGATTTCAAGACATGCACAAATGAGGAAAAACTTTACCATTATTGGTTTGTAGCGTGTCGTGTTTGTACATTCCTTTTTAGTCCAATGAACATGAATAGAAAATCAATAGTAATTAATCATTTTGTGAAATATACAATTTACCAGGAAGACAAGTTGTGGACATTTTGATGTAAAACAGATCAAAAATGTTGTATGTATGTGACAAAATGACATAAATCATTGTTTGGAAACATTCTTTACATTTCCGAACCCTTGTTGGGTACATCCTAAAAGTTATCAAACTCTTATTGGGAAATGACCTTCACATTATCAAACTCTTCTAGAGTAACGTCCTTCGCATCGTTGAAAACTGCAAATATAAACGATGATATAAAGCGTACCTTTTTCATCTTGTCAATAGATTATTAAGCCTCAATCCCGGAGTGAACATTTCAATGAATCTCACATCGCTGATTGCGATAACAAACTAGTGACGATGTTTGAAAAAAACGAACATGTAGTCAGTCAGCCATCAAGAATTACCCAAACGAAAACCACAATGTAAAACTATTCAACACAACAACTTACACCAAAGTTTACAGAAACACAATACTTTAACAATGTGACTTAATAAAGGTTGGGTTGCAG